AGGGAAAGATTATAAAAATTGTGTCAGTCAAGGCATGATTTTTCTAAGGGTAAGCCTTAAAAGCTTCCAGAAACCAAGTGTTTAAAAGTCTTGGGCTTGGCATTGTATCTGTACCATCCTATCATCTGTACCATTGTTATCTGGACCAGTAGTCCCTCTTACATATTCTTTGTTATACAGTCATCTGAAGTATTCTGTGAAATGTACTACATAGGATTTAAACTTCCTGCTTTGCCATCAGGTATCCACTGGTTCTTGTTATCAAAATGATTGTGCTTTTAGCTTCATTTTAGAGCCAAGTCCAATGAGCTGCTACCGAGATGAGTAGAGCAGTGTAGACAGCCACATACGCAAAATCAAATTACAAACCAAAATTATAAATTGAAAAAACTTAAAAATTGAATCACATAAAAGTATTCAGCAATATAGTAGGTTTTTCAAGTCAGCACAGCATTAATATTTTTTTTGGTTCAGATTTGTTTATATTTGTTTCTAAAAACAAGAAAGTTCAAGGGGAGAAAATGATATTGAAAAAGAGCATTAATTAAAAAGGCAACTAGAATTTTGTAGGTTACGCTTTGCCTGATATCCTTCCAGGGAAGAATTGATGTGCACAACTGCACAGCTGCATTGTGTCTCAGCTGTTTATCTTCTGATACAGTTTGGAAATATTATTTCTTAAAACAGCTCTGGTCCAAGAAACCAGAACATTAACTACTAGAGATAGTTCTGAACTACTATTTAGGGAATTATTCATCATCTTATATAGCTGATTGTTCCTATCTAAGTGTAGTAGTTTGTCTTTATTGAACTCCATCCGTTGGTCTGTTTCAAAACACTGCTTCAGTATGTCAGAAACCTTTAAAATTATGGCCTGATATTCCAAAGCACTTGCTTCCTATCTATACTCAGATTTCAGTCAATAATTTAAATAAGAAACTGGAAAATAAACTTGCATTTCATTTCAAAACGAGCAGACTGACTCAGGCCAGACAGTTTGGAAATGACATTGTTATGGTTTTACTGTGAATCGTTTTTTTTCAACATACCTTTTGGGTATGGCTTGTCAGTGTATAAACATATTATGACTGACAAGTTTAAATTTACTGTCTTAATGGTTATAATGATTGTAGTCTATTTCATTTATAATACTTTTTAGAGCTCTAAATAAATAAGAATTTCTGAGGCTAGTAGATTTTATTTTAAAAATTATGATGGTCCTTATTGCTTGACATTTTTAATGGAATGGTATGTTTGATTAATGTAAGTGTTAAGAGCATGCTGATCTGTCATCATTTTTGAGAAATGTGTTGTTTGTACATCTTTCCTGTTGAGTTGTTTTTTGTAGTGTCAACATTCATTGCCCATCTGTAATTTTAAAAGTAGCACTCCCTAAAGCTCCTACTATTCATAAACAAAAGTGCCTTCATTTTGACTTCATTTGTCTTTCATAGATGAGTTAGTTCTGTTGCCCGTTCTTATGACCGTTTTCATTCTTTGGAAGCAGTGCACACACTCCCACTAGGCATATTTCTCATCAAAGACTTTCAAAGCCATATATGACTTCTTAATTCAGAAGGCATCTGCTAATGGAAACATTGAGATCAGCAGAAAAGGACATTAGCTAATGAGTTCTGGAAACAAAGGGTGATAGAAAGAACACAATCAGAAACTTATTTTCTAATACCAACCTCTCTATCTCTTACAAAAATATACATATTTTTGCAAGCAAAGTTCCTCTATTGAAAAAAAAATGCTTATAGAATTGCAAAATAACAACTTAAGATCTCTCATTATCTACTTAAAATATTTATAAAATCTGAAGCTTAATCTGGTACGTATCTAAGACAGTTAAGAGTCTCCTAACTTTTTCTAATACAGTGAAAAAGGTTCTGTGAATGTTTTATACATATGAATGTGTACATACACATACCTTCAGAAGATTCCTTTTCTTGTGCCTTTTCTCTCAACAGGATATGGGCAAATGAAATTAGTTAGTTCATTTATGAATACATTCACAGACATTTTTCATTGCTGTCATGATTCTTAACATTTTCAAAAGTTTGTTTTTTCATTTGAGGAGCTACCTGTTGGAACAGAAGCTGAATCTCAACTAACACCCTTCTGGCTGTGTTTCTCATTCTCTGTGATATACAGTATAGTCCTTTGTTGATGAGAAACCTCGTGACTTCAATTACTGAAGTCTGCCTGCCTTGAAGCTCTGAGATGCACAGATTTTGGGGAGATCAGATATTTAGTGTTATGTCAAGATCGATTCAATGATTTGTTAACACTTTATTTTTCCTTCAAGTTAAATAATTTTGAAACTCTTTCTAAATTCAATGCTTTTTCACTCAAAATTAGAATCCTTTCATCATGTTCTACTCAAGACCTTCTTCAGATCAGATTATAAACTGCTATATATTTGATGGGATCCTACTTTATGTTTTGCAGTCTCCAAACAGAGTTTGGAAAGTTGTTTCACAGGAATTATCCATATGCATACTGTACGCCCTGCAAAATGAGAAATAATTTACCCAATGAAGATAAACACTTCTTGCCCCTTAGCCTTGGGGAAGGAGTACATGGGGAGTCAGTACTCAAGAGCTGACATTTTGTAAATGCATGTTGTAGCTTGCCTTGCAGTAAATTATTTGCGCTTTTATACCTGTTTGTTTTGAATGCATTTCTCAAGTTACTTCCTCTAGAGCAGTAGTGAGGTACTTAAAAAGATAGGAAAGAAAAATATATAGCAGAAAAAAAAATTGTGAGGGTAGTCTGCACTTATGCAGACTCCACTTGCAGTAGTTGCAATAGAGTCTGAATTAGTGATTCAGAAGAAGAGCAAAATCCTGAGATGTTGCTAGCACTTGTCAGTACTTCCTGTGAGGACATGACTACTAAAATGGAAATATTTATTTTTACAAAAATGACGAAATCTGCCTACGGATTAATGGGCTTGCAGTGTTAGCCAAAAGCTTTGGCATCATTAGTGTATGAAACCAATTTAACTAAATTATGTTCAGTCACTTCAGCTTGTAGCTAAGTTATCCCTGGAAATGACAGTGCCATCATTAATTCATGATCTGCTGATGCAGATCAGAGCTGAAAACTCTGTCTTAGGAGTAGGTACCTCAGTGTAGGTAAAACTAGTTTCCCTACAGCCACAAAAACAGTTTGTGCAATAATCCTTTCAGAATCAAAGTGACATTCAATATCTACATCTGAAAGATCAGATCACAAGATTTTTTTTAACAATGTAGATATAGAAGTAATGATCCTTCTTTACTAATTCTTATATTTTATTGTGTTGTCCTAGTGTAACTACTTCAAAAAAGGTTTTGGTGATTTTTGAAGGATGTGCTGGTGGTTTAATTACTTTTTAATGGTAGCTTCATGCAGTTTAAATATCAGCCCTGTGAGTCAGTATCTAAGCATTTGGGATTGAAGAATGGGATGTAGTGACCAATATTCGATTTAGACTCAAGCTTTGAGAGGTCAGGATTGATCCTTCTCCTGCTTGGAGCAGATGATGCAGAAAGGTGAATCTAATTGATGATACCAATTTAAAAAGGCAAGTTTATGGAAGCTTATTTTGCTTTTCAAAAATTATTGTTTTCAGGCAATTTTTTTATTCTCACTCTTATGATCTAAGGGATTATAGTATTAAAAATATTAACCATTCCATTGTTTAGTAGTAAATATATTTAAAATTTATTTCTAATTAGAAAGGATGGAAGAGTGTTTTACAGAGAAAATTTTAAATTGCAAGACTGTCCAGTAATGTTCAGTGTTTTGGTTTATAGTACACCAGTTTTTTAAATCTGGAGAAAATTTCTGTAATTTTGAATCATAGTGCAATGGGCTGGGTATGATAGGAGCTTGATTAATGCATACAGAAAGTTATAATTATTATGTTAATATTTGCATTGTGCAGTAAATTTTTAATGTGAATGTTTATATGGGCCCTTTCACTTGAATGCAGTTCAAATTCCTGAACAGTGCTAACTGGTTAGATATATAGGAAGACTGTGCCATAAATGGACTCCTCTGTTGCTCATAAAATAGTAATATTTATTAACACTACAATTTGTGTCAAACAAGTTTTCTCTCCGAGTCTAAAAATTATTTGAATCTGTATTTCAAATAATTAGTCTGATGAAGCTTGTACTTACGACAGCTAATTAAACATTGATTGCAATGTTTAATATGCTATTTGAATACTGTGAGTATTCACGGTTAGTTACTGTTACTACTTCTAAACTAAACCTACAGGTCAAAAATGTGGAAAAGCAGCAGAGAATTCAGTTTCTTCTGTAATTCTTTTCTGAGATGCGTTTCGTCTGTATCTACCTTTATTCAGATAAGGAAGCTAACTTCTAGATTTGTAACTGATCATGAAAAGTAGTGAAAATTTAATTGACACCAGTTTTGATTACCCTTGGATACTACCAATAATCAGGACCAAATATTATATCTGGTCTCATTCTCTGCCTTAAACAATGTTTTTTTTTCCAAAGCTACATGTAAACAAAGGTGATAGTAGGCAGCAGATCTCTAAAAAGTGTTTTCATTTTGATTATGTCTTAAAAACAGATCTTAATATAGCTGTAACAACTGAGCCTGGAGCTCTTAACAAAATGAATTTTGTATTTTAATTTTTCAGATGTTTTTTATGTGTGTTTATAAGAAGATATCTGATGGATTGATTACGAAGAGTAGTTTGAAAGTATTTTGACTGTTGAGCTACATGGAAATGGTTGTAACACTTAACTTTGTTTAAATTATTTCAGTTATTTCATGCCAGATGAAGATTACAAAATGGACATTTCAACCTGAGCACCAGTTGAATAGGAGTAAAGCAAGTGTCAGAATCAGAGCCACAAAAAAAAGAAGGGAATCACTAGACTAGTTTCTTGAGCTGATTTATTACAAGAAATTAATCTTTTATTGTTATGATTTTAGCCATGTCCTTCAGGGGCCCGTGATTTTCGAGAAAAACAATGTGCAGACTTTGATAATATGCCTTTCCGGGGAAAGTACTATCACTGGAAACCCTACACTGGAGGTAACGTGTAGCTTTGCAATTATACTAACATACTTGCTCTTTGAAGTCATATAAGTATTGTCTAGAAAGTAATATCTGACAAGGAAAGTTTTAATCGGTGTACTGTGAGCCAAGTTTGCTAACCTTGCACTTTTATCAATAGTTGAAAACGTTAAAGAAGAACCGTCTTGGTATTTTGGTAATGTTTTCTTTCACTGTGAAAGGGAGTGAGCGTTGTTTTAGGGTTTTTACTTTGAAATATGGAACTCTCTTCAATCCACAGTCACAACAGAGGATTTCATGTGTGATCTGTAAGTGCCTTTGATGATACAGTGATGAGTTCAATATAAAAATCATGTTGAAGTTCTTATCTAAGGTGGAAGTGTGAGGAGAAGGAAAAAGAAGAAATAGCACTTAGCAAAGTCTAAAAAAATTACTTCAACTACTGAGATATAAATAATTGCAATGTGCAGAAAAGGATATTTTGAAGCAGAGCAGACTATTGTAATTTTTTCTTTTTCTTTGGGACACTTTAATCAAGTTTATCATTGAATTGAATGATTTTATTCTTAGTTTTGTAGATTATGAGCCCCAAAAGGACTGTTGTGATCATTTGACCTGACTTGTAGCATAATTAAAGTTATAGGACTCGATTTCTACGGAAATAGAATCTGATTGTGATTTTTGAAATTTAAACTGACATATTATTAGAATTACTTTCTTTTATTTTTCATGTTTTTCAAATGGTGAAGTATTGTCTTTATTATTTTAAATTGTTCAATAATCATTAGGGTTGTATTAACATAATGGAATCGTTATGGAGCCACCCAACCTCGCCATATCTTACTATGAGCTGAAATAATCTTTTTTGCAAGAAAGAAGAGTCAAGTAGAGAAATCAATAAGGGGAAATAAAATAAAGTGTATATATATGTCAGGTATGAGATAAGATTATAAATTTCAGATCAGATCAGATTATGCATCTACTTTTTAATTATTAACTTTTCAAGAATTCTCTTTTTTCTTTGCTTTCATTGTCTAGGTGGGGTTAAACTGTGTGCATTAAACTGCTTGGCTGAAGGTTATAATTTTTACACTGAACGTGCTCCTGCAGTAATAGATGGGACTCAGTGCAATGCTGATTCACTGGATATCTGTATAAATGGAGAATGCAAGGTTACATATGTTTTATAAAATATTTATGAATTAGTTTGCTATTTATTGTCATTCCTTCTACATTTTGTACTGGTGCTCACTTGTTAACTACGCGAAACAAGCTTGTGTAAAAGTCAAGTTAATGAAATGGTAAGACTGAGACAAAAAATAAGAAAGGTATTTGCATAGGTGAGAAAAATCATTTGAATTTCAGCAGCTTCTCTTAAGTATTAAAGCACTTATATCTAGAATTCTGCTTTTGTCTTCCTTATTTTAAATTGCTTTCCGTTCTTTGTTGAAGAAGCACTGGAAAAGGCAACAGGAGACAAGCAGATTCCTTGCATGCTTCCAAAGCCTATTCCATAGTTCCAATTAGAACTCCATTCTTGCCAGAAGACAGTATATGTTAACATTTTACCCATTTCTAACTAGTTCATCCTGTTGCAAACAATTCTGTTCATAATGTAATCAAAAGAGAAAGTTGTCACTATTGCTCTGTAGTTCTATGAAAAAAACGCATAACCATGCAACTATTTTCCCTTTATTAAATATCTGATTATCTTCTAAGCTTCCTATGAAATTGTATCACATGAAGTTGAAGAAAATTGGAAGTCCATGCTATATGTCTGATTATGTTCATCCCACTGCTGCTTCACTTTAGCAGAGCATTGATTTATGTACTTAAATCTAAACGTCTGAATAGTGCCATTGACTCTAATTATTTGGTTTCACCGGAATCACTAACTTACATGAAGGTGAACCCTATGCTTGTATACTTTGCTAAACTGAGGGTTGAGGATTTATGGTTACTGAATAACATGCAATGAGATCAAGAGTGTTTGCCATGTATTAGAAAACTAACAAAAACAAAGTATAGGAACTCAGCTGTGGAATTCTGGTGTTCTTTATACATTAAAAAATTCAGTACAATGTTTGTTCTCATTTATTCTCAGCATGTAGGTTGTGATAATATTTTGGGGTCTGATGCAAAGGAAGATAGATGTCGTGTTTGTGGAGGAGATGGGAGCACATGTGAAGCCATTGAAGGTTTCTTCAATGATTCATTGCCCAGAGGAGGTATGTGTATATACATCCATTCTGTTGTACAATGTATTTGATGTCTATTTTGCAAATACAGTGATCAACTGATTTCCAGCATGGGATTGTTGTTGATCCTTCATTCAGACATCGTAAGTGGAGTTGATTTAGAAGCTTTGACTTTCCTTAGGGTATTTGGTGTATTTTTTGTTGTTGTTTGTTTGTTTGTTTTCCCCAGTAATAATTTGGATTTATGTAAAATACAAAAATAATTTTAATTACTTGATACTTAGTTGGACTTTAATGTACTAAAAAAAAGTGTGAAGTTTGTCTTTATTCATTAGTTATGGTCATGTTAAATGAAAATTTCAGTACAGTTTTAGTCTGTATGATGGAATCTGATATTTAACCATATATTTAACCACACATGAAATTTTAGGATTGAAAAAATCCAGAAGCATCTATAAGTTCATGTTACTAAGTTCTCAGGAAATATCTATGAGCACTTAGTTGAAAGTTTAGCTCATAAAATGCAATGTTAGTATTACCATCTTCATATTAGTAGTAGTACTATTGCATCTACAGTATGGTCTTGAGTCTTGGGCCCCCGATAAAAGAAAGATATTGATGAACTGGACTGAGTTCAGGGGAAGCCATCAAGATTGCTGCGGGCTGGAGCACTTGCTACCACTATGAGGAGAGTCTGAGGGAACGGAGTTTCTTTGGCCTGGAGAAAATTTGTGGGGCCTAGGAGCAACCATCAAATACTTAAGAGGAGGTCATAGGGAAGAAAGAGACTGTTCTGTAGTGGATACATGGTGGGATGCAATGGCTGTAAGTTGAAACAAGAGAGAGAGAGACTGCATATAAAGAAAAGCCTTTTTCCCCATGTAGACAGTCCATCAGTGGACCGGGTTGCCCAGAGAGGTAGGACAGTTTCCATCTTCGGAATCTTTTAAGAGCCAAGTGGATAAAGCTCTGAGTAACCTGGTGTGATCTCCTAGCTGACCCTTTTATCAGGAAGTTGGATTACATTACATTTTGAGGTCCCTTCCAACTTGAATTATCCTGTGAACCTAAGGTCAATTTGTACGTTAATTACTTCTGATTCACTGTCAAAAATACTTCATTGGTGTTTTAAAAAAAATCCTGATTATATATTAAATTCTTGCTATTACTTTCACTTTTGTGTCTGAAATTCAGAAAGTTTTCCTTTACGTATCATGAAAGAGAATATTTAAGTACATTTAATCTTGTATTAATTTTCAATAGTAAATAATTTATTGTTAGTTAAATGATTTAAATATTATTTCTTGGTGTTTTCTTAAACAATATATCTTTATCTTATAGGCTATATGGAAGTGATTCAGATTCCAAGGGGTTCTGTGTACATTGAAATAAAAGAAGTGGCAATGTCAAAGAACTACATTGGTAAGAGGATGGTTTACATAACCGACTGTTACTAAGATAGATAGACTTTTGGAATTGATTTGCAGGTACAGTTTTCTGCTCTGGCCACATATAAAGTAGTGCACACAGTAGAAGCAATGGAGGGCATGGTGGTTGAAATGGTGGTCAGACAGGCGCAAAAAGAGCAGCAATTGTTTGGGACATATTCTCCTGACGTAGAGCTAATGAAGTGCAGCATGTGAACCCTCCTTGTCTATGTCAGGGGGAAATGAGGTTAAACTTCACTGTTTAGTGTCATAAATTGAGCTGAAGTGAATGAGGAACTTTTACATGATCTGCAGTCTTACTTTGTAAGAGTGTCTTCCATGTGGCAAGTCTCTATGGAGGATTATACTGTTTTAAAACAGTGTTATCCTTGGAACAATCTTTCAACAACAGCCATACTTACTTAGATGTTCTTTTAAACTGTTCTGTCTCTCTACCATAGCACAGTTTAATTATTATTTAGTGCTGCCTCTCTATCATAGCATAGTTTAATTATTGTAATTATTATTGTAGTTTAATTAATATTAATTTCACAGTTTTTCTGTGTTGTAGGGACTTAATGCCATTCCTGTTTTATAGATAAGGGAAATGTAGCAGGGAAAAACCCACTCTTAACTGAGGTCATTCAAGAAGCCTGTAGTAAAGCACATGATTAAATTCAGCTTCCCAGATTACATTTCCTTTCTTTAAGGATTCTCTTAAATTTGCTTTTCCTTTTTGTAATACTAATATATACTAATTTGGCTTTACCAAACTCAAAATACGCATTTCTGAAAATGTTTCTATCCTGATGTGCACAGAACTCGGATCACAGTAGTATAAGAACACCATTTTTTTCAGTCCAAAATGGCTCAGAGCTGATAAGTTGTACAGCAAGCTAACAGGTGTACATTACCAAAAGCTCTTATTTGTTTAGGCTGAACATAAGTTAACTAGGCTATATGCATGTGCTATATCTATAACATTAATGTCTTGAAAAGGACTGTGATGCATGGAAATGAGAGTCTGAAGGGCAATTAACATTCCAGGTAAATTAAATTTTAAATTGATTGTATTAATGATGGTATCTGCTACTTTCAGTTGCTACTCTTCTTTCTGCCTACCCCCAGTGTCCCATAATTCAGCAGATTGAGTCTCCATTCTGCAGGAAGAATAGCATCCACTGCTCCAGCAAAAAAAGAATGTTTATTATTCCTTCAGCATCACACTTCCCCCTGGCCCCTGCCCTTTGTCAAAATATACTGTTGGTAAGGTTGCTTACATATCCTATGCTTGGCATATCAAACAGAGGCAGTGGGAGGGAGAAGCACAATGCATCCTATAATGGTCATTTTATGCTAAGAACCACGTTATCAAAAATTCATTTATAACCTTAAAATCTATACCAGTATTAATGTTGTTATAGTCAAATTAGATAATTGTTTTTCTGATTCCATGGGTAGCTGAAAGTCAGAATAAACTTAACTACTGCAGTTAAGTTTGTTATTCTTTTAATTTATAAGCAAAGTGATCTTCTTTTGGAAAGCATTTAGATTGGATTTTTTCTTTCATTTTATATATATTTACCTTTTTTTTTTTTTTGCTTAAGTAAAAAATGTAGGCAGCTGCTTTGGAATCTGTCCACAGATTTAAAAATGTAAAGTCACAGAAGCCCTAGCTAACAAAAATGGGGGATTCCTTTTCCTCACTGATTTCTTGAGTTTCTGATTTCCAAATGAGCTTTTACCTCCTCATGAAAGATGATTTTACTAAGTCTGAAGGGTCATTTCATTTTGTGTGTGACTCTGTACTGCAAGTGTGAACCAGTGTTGGATCACCAGTTCCTGGGGAAAGGAATACTTCTAATTTCTCTGCTCCCTTAAAAGTACTTTACAAGCATGACAGTGGTTAAAAATGTGTTTGTTTTCTTACCTCAAGGTACCACAAGAGTATTATTTTTTAAAACATTTCTTTAGTGGCAGTTTCCCCACTCCTTATCTCTAAGGAGTTCTGCCTATTGCTCCAGGCCTGCTCTTTGCATGGTCACTATAAGAACCAGATTAGGGAACTGATTCAGCTGAAAATAACAATTTAAGCATGTTGCTATTATATTTGGTTTTATATGCACTGCTGCCAAATATGTGAACACAATCTAAGAAATCAATTGAAAATATGCAAAAATTAATAACAGCCTCCCTCTGTAGCTCTCACGCTGGCTTCAAGGTTTCTTCTTTCTTCCTTTCAGCTAGTAGACTCACTTGTAACAAATATCTTACAGTTCCTAAGCTAGGATCCAGGTCTTCTGCAAGCCCTGGCCTCATGTTTAGGTTGCAGTTAGATATTTGGCAACTTTATTAACTCAGTCAGCACCTGTCCTCTCTCCCCTCATCTCTGGCTGCTCATTTCTGCACCAGTATCACATCTCGTGTTGTGCCAGCATGAGTGCATGTTTCTGCAGCTGCATAATAAATAAGTTTTTAAACTGATCTGTTCAAAAAGTAACAAAAGCAACAACAAAAATGCCTGTTTCTACTGCTTCTGAAAAAAAATGCATGTCGAGTAATGCTGTTATCTTCCCTGAAATGGGTTCATCTGGGTTGACATCTTCCTTTACATCCTCCTTAGGTAACTGTTTTGAGTGCTAGTTTCTCCTAGGCTTCCTGCATTCTCAAGTTCTTTTAAGTGATTTGATTAGGATATTAACTTGCTTCTTCTGTCTCATATGCTAATAACTTTGTCATTGCTTCAGCATTGTCATGTAATTGTTTTACTGGAATGCTGCTCACGGCTGTGTGAACTTCACCTAGGCATTACAACTGTCATTGAGCAAATCTATTTACACAATGCAAATACATTTTTCTTTGGCAGGCAGACAAGTGAAAAAGGAAGTGCTTCACTTTCTACATCAGTTTGAATATATAAAGCATGTAATTGATAGCATATAAGGTCAGAATGATGAATTATGTAAAAACATGTATGAGAACATTTGTTCTCCTGTGTTCATTTATATGTCTTAAGTAATATAATTGAAGAATTCATCTTGTTTGCTGTTAATAGAGACTAGACATGCTGAGAAGAAAACATTTGGGAATAACAAAGTGATGGAATAAAAGACTATGTTGCATGTCTTTTGAATACGTCTTGCTGCCTTTGGGAGATCCTATGGCAATTCTATTAATTGAGCTAGATCTTTTAAAGCAGAGTGGATAGAAATTTTGTCTATGTGGCAGAGTGATATCACTAATAAAACAGTATTGGTGTTCAGCTGTAATGTCATTTCATCTACCTACTTAAAATATATAAATATTTGGAGTTTTGTTCCTTTCTTTTAATATAGTACTGCCTACAATTTGTCTTGTTCTCTGTTCGCTTTTTTTCTACCTACTTTTCTTGTACTGCAAAACCCATATAGACATAAGAATCTGAGTTATTTTGAGAAGCCCAGATAACTGAATGTGTCAGAGCTAGTTTTCTTCACCAAAAGCATGTGCGTGATTCCAGAGTAAATTCAGAGAACTCCGTGGAGTTAGATTTATGCTATGGAAAGACATTCTTTTTCAGAGCTTACAGTACTGATAGAAATGACTACTAACCCTTGCTGAATATGTCTCCAGCAGAATGTTACTGCTTCTCCAACCGTCTGCTCTTTATATAAATGCTTTCTAATCTATTTTAGAAAACTTGATTGTCATTTGTAAAGACCTCTTTCCTAACTGCTTATGCTAAGCCATCTGTACACAAAGATATAGTTGAGACTAAAGCTTGATCTTAAGATGTCTTATTCCTTATGATTGCAATGTAAATTCCCTCTCCAGCAAAGTGAGTGTTTTGTCTAAGCAAAGAGCAAATCTCCATTTAATTGCATGTTTTCAAACAGCATTTTCCTGTTAAGAACATATTTTATTTGAAGTGAATATGAATGTCAAATAATCTAGTAATCTTTATAATTGCCTTAAATTAAGAACTCAATCTAATTAACATCTATTCAACTCAATATCTGTTATCTAGAAACTTTATCTAATATGTTTGGTAAAATATCAAACATATGTCCTTGAGCAAAATCTGTTTGTCCAACCTAATTGGTCAGTTTACTAAGAAATTTATATTTTAACTGCTGTACTTTCGTGGTTTAGTGCTGTAATCTAGGAATAATAAAACAACTTTAGAGATGAAACAGCTAGCATTTGGTTTTGTGTTATAAATATCTTGGATATATGCATTGAGGAGGAAAAAAAATGGGCAAAGGAGCAAGAGTTGAGTTGACCATGTTTCCGACTCAGTCTTCTCCGTTTTTTACTTCTCAGCTTGTTATCTGAGATACCTATGCTTATGTTATGATCTCTAGAGGTCCCTTCCAACCCTAAGCATTCTATGATTCTATGATTCTGTGATTCTGTGAATACAGGTGGATTCAGCTTTAGGGCTGAACACATAATGAGATTGCATGTGGCACACTTTTAATTCTCATAGCACGTGCATCTTGAAATCTGCCAGGTGTTGAAGATTATGGTAAAGGCAGTATCATCCTGTGCAACGTGATCTAGGTGTCCCGGCTTGAGCAGAGGGTAGAGATCTCCAGAGGTCGCTTCCAACCTCAACCATTCTGTGATTCTGTGATCAAAGTGTATGAGGAATATTTTGATCAGTGCTAAAGAAAAGGTTTTATAATGTGAAATTCTCATACATCTGACAGATTAGTAGTTTAATTTGCAATGGCTTCTCTATTATAAATGCTGCTTCCAATTTTTAGGTGGCTTGTATTTTTTTTTAAGCTTTAAAATCTGAAGAGGATGACTACTATATTAATGGTGCCTGGACTATTGACTGGCCAAGAAAGTTTGATGTTGCTGGAACAGCTTTCCATTACAAGAGACCAACAGATGAACCCGAGTCTTTGGAAGCCCTAGGCCCTACATCAGAAAATCTCATAGTCATGGTAAAGTTATAATTGTTATATTTTTGAATTTATAAATATGTACTTATATTCTGAGGAAAAATGAGGCCACGAATAGAATCAAAATAGATAGTGTTTACAAAGAATATACTGCTTGCCAAGTTCTAGGATTTAGGAATATTTTTTTTCAAATCAACTTTCTTATCTTTTAAAACTGGCAGGCAAACATTGTGATTAAAAAGAGGAATAAAGACAGGAAATCCCCAGAAAATCTCACTGAAAATACCCCAATATCATTCTCTTCTGTGTTATGTTGCTTCAGAATAATGATAGCATAAATTGTAAATGGGATGTGTATTGTGCCTCTGCGTACTTCTGAGACATCAGTGTTGCATATAGGAGCTGCATCAGGCTGTGATGGTGATGTGTGGTATCTGCAGAGTGCTCTGCTTTCCCAGCAATTCTGTAGATACCTGGTTTTAAACATGGCCTGAGGGAGAAGTTTCTGTACTTCGTATGGATACTCCAGAGTGTCATGATTTGACCTGTATTAAAGTATGTTGTTTTGACAGACTTTGCTCCTAATGGTTTATACAGAATGTGAGAATGTAACAGAAGATGGGCCCAAGGTCCTTGCGCCCTATCTCTGACAATAGGCAATAGTGAGGCCACTGTTACCCTGAGGAAGAGTGTGGGAACAGGGCCGCCAGATTTGCAGCTCAAGGTTTGTTTGAGCCAGACATTACACTTATGTGTATAGAATGATTTCTCCCTGGTTATTTAAATCTTAGGCAGCATTTTCAAACACCTGAACCCCTTCTTTTTTTTTCTGCTGCAGCTGTGGATAACTAGGGAGCCCATATAAAATGAGTTATGGAATGATTATAGTGGCTTTCTCAGTCAGTGCTACTGGCTTTCTTATCAGAAGTTTTTTGTCCTCCTGTCCAGTAGGGATGGATAGATATGTCTCTGCAAAATGTAACAAGGTAGAAGGGGGTGAGAAGTAACTCTAAGATGGATTGCTGTATTTTAATGTACTTGATACATAATATTAGCAACAAAAATCTTTGATAGAGGATCAAAGACTAGACTTACTAAGAAAGCACAGTGTTGGACAAGTGATATGTGGGAAAGGCACAGGAGTGAGGATAACCAAAAGCTCATAGTGACTAGAGTTGCTAAAGCTGGAGTGAGAGTTAATGATACTCATTAAAAGCTAATTCTGTTTTTCACCAAGCTAATTCTGTTGGCTAATGCAATGAGGGAAAATGACCTTTGTTGTTACTCCTATAGGCACAAGACGTATAAGCAAAGTCTGAATGTTAGGGTCACAACTGCTGTGTGGGTACTTCCTTACAAGATTTCAGTTAGAACTTAAAATTATGTTACATAATTAGGTTGCAATAATGTCCTTAATGAACTTTGACCTCAAAAAATATTTAGCTGTCAAATTATTTTCCATCAATTAAGACATTGATTTCATGAAAACTATCTTTTTAAAATTGTTGTTTCAAGAATTGACAAAAGTTATGAATTTGTGGTAGTAAAGGAGGGGGAGGAAATAAGAAAGCTCACCTTTATTATTGTGTATGCTTTAAAAGTTAGTCCGGATTCTTTTGGAAATACCCGAAAGAACTATTGTGGCTCACTTTATTACCTTTTTCTTTCCACAAGGCATAACACATACCTAAATTAAATGTCATTGTAGTTGCTCTCTGCTTGCCTCTTTTAATGGTGTAACCAGTTGTTTTCAACTACAGATTCTGCTACAGGAACAAAATTTGGGTATAAGGTATAAATTCAATGTTCCCATCTCTCGCACTGGCAGTGGAGACAATGAAGTTGGCTTTGTGTGGAATCATCTGCCTTGGTCAGAATGTTCTGCCACTTGTGCTGGAGGTAAGACACATACCAGGCAATCAAGCTGAAGGGTAAACTGAATTGCAACATACACATTACTACATAATTATGTGGGTAACTAACATGAAAATATTTCTTTCAGATATGCTTCAAAACTTAATTTAGTGAAAGAACATCTATTTTATCACATTGGATTTTGTTTGTTTTCAACTATATTTAATATGTACAGATTTTTGCATCAAATACAGTATATCTTGGCACAATGTATCTCTGTCTGCTGATGCTTCTTCTTGGATTCTCTTGAAGTTAGGGTATTTGCTTTTTACAGGAGCTTTCTTGATAAAGGACATTTGAAGTTTTGAAGTTTGACATTTGAAGTAAGGAGATAAACAGAAGGCAACTACAAATAAGGGACGTGTGTCTCTGCGTGTATGTATGTGTACTTCACATGATCCTAGGCAGGCCTCCTATCCTCCAGCCACAAAGGTCAGGATGTTTACTGGCAGCTCTTCTATAGGAGGTGATAACAACTGGATCCTACTTCCTGGCTGATGAGAATTGTTGCCACTGGTGGCAGCAATGGGGGATTTGTAGGTTGTCCCCCGTGATTTCATCATGGGTGCTTTTTGCCCACAATTTACTGTATTCCTAATCCTCCTCCCTCTAGTGGCCACCATTGCTGCTGCATGGACTGGTGAGTAGAAGTGCAGTGTGAATAGCATCATTCTCTCTGGAGACTGAATGCATCATCTCCCTGACACACCTCAGTTGCAGAAGACCAGGGAGAGAGATTTAAATCCACCTTAGAATTTCAGCTTTCAGCTGTGCAGCACACTGTCAGTAATGAGAGGAATCAACTGTTTATATTTAAAGAACTTTCAGACCAAATATTTGTCTTTTTTTAATGCTACTGGAGGTGTTTACGTTTAGAGGCATCTTGACTCATCTCTGCTTGGATCATACTGTGGCTGTTATGGGTTGTTTGCTGCTTAAGCACTGGCAGTTTACTTAGCTGTGTGTAAGACACAGAGCAATACAGTTTCTCTTCTGTGTAGCTAAAGTCTTGAAACAGAGGCATGTAACCACCTGTGTGACGGACTGCTTTTTCCACTAGTATTTTAACATTCTAGAGTCTGTAGAAAAATCGAAGTTTGAGAGAAGTAGGAAGGTAGAGAAGTGTCTGTCTCATAGCAAAACACATCTAAGTTTCAAAAATGTACAAGTACTGCCAAATCCTGGTTTTATGACAGTAGTCAGTTAATGAACCTTCTGAAGTCAAAGGGAGAACTCCCACTGATATAAGTAGAGACAAGATTTTGGCATGAATCTTTTGTCATACAAATCATTAGCGTGTCACAGTTGCAGAAATACAGAGAAAATGATTTGGCCTGAAGGAGTAGGCCTCTGCCTTGAGAAACATTTTGGCATAGTTAATTAACTTTTAAAGAAAGACATGTGAGTCATGGACATCCACTGTCTCTGCATATTTATTACTCATTTGATTTTGTGTGTTTTTTTTTTTTCTATTGAAAGATCATCTTAAATAGTTTATGGTGGCTAAACAACATACTTTTCTCTCATTCAGCTTAATGTGAGGATATACTGTGGTAACTTAAGATCTGTGCTCAGAGAATAAATGTTTAATTGTAGCTATAATTCATGTAGAAACTGTATCTGTTTTCTCCATATGAATACCTTCTATTCCCCGAAGTTTATGAAACACCTTTTACCACCTTTTACTTTGCTGTTGCAGTTGCAAACCACAATTTCGGGGGGTTGTTTTTAAAAATAGATACAGCATCAAGATGACTGCAGTTTTAATTTCAGAATATTATATGCTCCATGTAATTTTAAATTTGGCTGCTGAAAGTCATGCAGACTATTTATGAATTGAAATCTGTAAAACATCTCAAATCTCTCGGGAGTATGGTCACTAAACCACTGGAGTTTTGTTTTCTATTAGAATTGCATTGGCCAGTTATGAGGAGATTTTGTCTTTTATTATAAACTATAAATCTGTAGATTTGAAAGCAGAATGTTTCTGTCTGACTGCTTATAAACTTGTTTAGCTGTGCTTTTTAGATTATTTTCAGAGACCATATATTCAGAAGAGTTGATAACTTAAAAAGATTTTTCCAAGGCCCATAGTGCTTAACTATCCAGTTGTTTTCTGGATAAAACCAGTGTTGCTAGTTTTTTCTCCCCCCCTTTTTTTTTTTTAATTAAATATAGGTTTTGAAGTTAGAATCTGAATTTTGTTTATGCAGTATTAAGTAACACTGTAATTAGATAGCAATAATTTAAAGAAGTTAATCGATAATTTAAAAAACTTAATTCCTTGTAGGTAACGGCTCTGGAGCAGACGCTCGCGCCGTGAAACCCT